AAACAAAAATAAAAACTGCTTTCAATGGCTCCTTTACTCACAAGGAGTCACAACAACGGGTAGCCTCGCTTGTTCGATTTGGCTGAGGTTTCACGCCCTTCCTGACACAAACCCCACAGGGATTTGTCTCCTCCCAGGATCGAACCGGGGCTCTTGTGCTTTTTAGGTGAATCTATAAACCAGGAATAGAACGAGGAGAAAATACCAGCCAGAATCACCTGGATTTTAAAATGTTTCCTACTCCCAAAATAAGTTTTAAAGTCTCTCACCTTTTAGAAGCAATAACGTTTTAATGAGTAGTCATCGGAATAGTTGTTTTTTATCGTCTGTTGATGAATTTCAGTTATTCCAGCTCTGCATTGGAGTTTAATGGTTTTAAAACTCGAGATCATAGAATCGTTTAGTGTTTGTCTCTGCAGTTAACTCTTTATAACGCCTCAGATTTATTAATTGGCCTTGTACAAATTAAATTTAATGTGTGTGTGTACATTGATGTCTCTCATGTGATGTCATGTGCACGCTGCTCGGGAGTTTTCCACCGTGTTAGATGTGTGTGGTGGGGAGGGATGCTACAGTGGGTGTGTTGTCACGGCTGACCTCCATCATTTGATCGTGCCTCCCCGTTTGAGTATGTTGCCGGGACCTGCTTCACTCTGTGTGGTGTGAAGCAGCACCTCCCAGAAACAAAGCAGAGGAGGGTTTTGTTACATTTAAACATAACCATCATGACCAGGGTTTGAAATAAGGAGGTCAGTGTTTGTACAAGTGTCGCTGTGAGGTGATAGAGAGCTGGTACTCCTAATATGGTCAAACGTTCTGTTTGTGAGAGGCAGCCAATCATCCCAAAAAGCTGATTCTGTTCATGTGGACGTAGCGTTTTCATAGTGGAAGCAGCTAAATTGGATCGTTTCAGACAGAGGATGAACTGAGGGGCTGCACAGAGGCTCAGTATAACATAACAGATTATTTTGAACTGAGAATCATGCAAAGCTACTCTAATCATGCAAAGCTACTCTAATAAAGCCCAAGAATAAAATATGCAGAATGGATTTAATATTAGTCTGAGGTTATTTTGGAGATAAAAACTGAACCTGGTTCATTTTTGTCTAAATATGTAACCACTATTAATTTGAGTCGTGTTATTAATTACTGACCATGTCTTGTTGACAGCTCACCTGCAGCACTCGACTCTGTTTTATTTGTCTCATGAACGGTTTCATGTCGTGTCTCTAATTGTGTTGAGTCCTTTCATCTCATCAGACAGGCTCGTTTCACATTCAGCACTGCAGAGGTGAACGAGTCCATTATGACTAACTGGCACGTTTGCCTTGTAAATCATCTCAATCAACACGCTGCTCTGCCGCTGTAAATAAAGCAAATTGCACTCTAGTAAAAGGACTCATCAGGAGTCAGTTATGAGGGGACCTGCAGGCTGCTCGTCCATCCCAGCCCTCCTCTCTATCTTTGATCTTCCTGCCCCGCTCTCTCTCCACATCTTCACTCCCTCCCTCACCTTCATTACATTCTGCTGTCTCCCTTTAAATCCTGACTCCCCCTCCCCCGCAGCCTCTCCCTCCTCCTGCAGTTTTGTGCGTGACTGTGCATACACCTTCACCCCACCCCCATAGTGCTGAGGTGGGGCATTTCCACCCACTCCATATACAGACAGTACACTGAAGCAGTGTTTCAGCTCTGTGCTGGCCAGTTACTCTGCATGGGCCACCTTAATGGTTGATGACCGAATTTCCCAGAGGAACCCACCCGAGGGATTAATAAACTTTTATCTTATCTTATCTTATGATTGGAAATCCAGTATGAGCAGAAAGCAGAGCCACATAAAAAGCAGACGGCTCACTTTTTACCCTCTGCAACAAACACAGAAACAGCTCAGTGTACAAACAGGTGTAATATGAATAAACAAATAATAAATACACATAAAAATAAATGCAGGGATGATAATATTTACCTCGTGAGGCAATGAGAACATCACTAAATGGAAAATGCTTCTCTTCTGGTCTTACATTTTTACATAAATATAAATAGTTTCAAATAAAAGTCTGTTTTCTAAAGAAGGACATTTAACATTTAATTTTTAATAAACAGTTTAAATATGAAAAACAGCAAATTTCAAAATAAAACAAAGGGGCCTTTACAAATGTACCTGAACCTGAAATATTCTTTAATCTTAAAAGGCTTCGATTTACTGCTTTAATATATCTGAATATAATAACAGCTCATTTTAGATTCACAAATGTGTCTGATTTCTTTAAGGTGCCTGAGGCCTTTATTTGACATCCTACATGTTTATATTCATCAAAATAGAAATAAGTGTCAGTCACGTAATGACATTAGGAAACTGGACAAAGTCATGAATCTAAAAATGAACCCTAATAAGTGTTTTTAATACAGCAGTGAGGACTTTAATTTTGGTTCCATGAATTTATTCCCTGGATTTTACTTTTCAGGTAACTGACTCCTTATTTTGCCCCTTAAAACATTTAGATTGATATAAATGTGTTTTATATATATTTGAATTCTGCCTTTCAGACGTCTCACGTGTGCTTCGATCTATGATTTTCTGACTTATTTCCTGGTGTTGTGTTATTGCGGTTTGTAGGGCTGTTTGTAATGCAGAGCTTTAGTTGTTCTGGTTTTTGTTTATTGAGTTTTTGCGCCAGTCAACTATTTTGTTATTTCTTTTTGTGGCTGTAGTTTTGTGTCTCTAGTGTTAGCGGTCTTTTGTTTATTTCCTGTTTTACTTTGAAGGTTGACTTTCTTGGATGTCTTCCATTGGTATTATTTCCTCCTTCATTATTGTCCGTTCGCCCTGATTATCTTTACCTGTGCATCAAAGGAGCTTGCAAAGAAAAGCGTCTGGACTTCTTTAAGTTGCTTGAAGATGTTTCACCTCTCATCTGAGAAGCTTCTTCTGAACTTCAGAACTGAAGAAGCTTCTCGGATGAGAGGTGAAACATCTTCAAGCAACTTAAAGAAGTCCAGACGCTTTTCTTTGCAAGCTCCTTAGACTACGATGACCTGGATGACTGAGAACCTTCACAGACATATTTTACCTGTGCGTATTAACTGCACCTGCATCTGTCTTGTGCTGTTTGACTTTTCCAGTGAACCTATCAGCTTAAATAAACGCTGCACTTTGCTCGACCTCTGAACTGACCTTCAACGCTCTTATATTGAACATCTCAAAATAATTGTCAATTTATCTCTTTTTCAAACGACAGAGCCAACAAACTTTTTTTTTGTGGCTGGGATGCCGGCTAACAAAGAGTGAGAAGTGCCGATAAAATAAGAACCAGCCTCGAGCTGTGAGTGAGGTGAACTATGGAAATGTCGACATGTCACGTTTGCATGCAGCGCAGAGTAGTTTGGATTTGTCCCGTGTGTCTCAGATCAGGGCGTTGCAGATGCTGACGGGGTGTTTTTATTTTAACTGTGTGGTTTATTTAAAAAATCTGCTGTTGGTGTGTTTTTATAATGCAAGAATCCAAATTTTATGAAGTATTGGCTGAACGTCCACCTGAATGGTTGGATTTTTGAGGCGTCACTTGAGGCCACAAGGTGTTGTTTTAGTGAGAAATATTCTCACATTCGTATTTGTACGTATTTTGCATGTTAAATACTCTGCATGTGCATCTACAGCTGTAAGCACAATAGGACAATCAGACATTCACTAAGTAATAATGATGCTCTGGAACAAAGGAGCGAGGTCCTAGTAACAGCAGCACACAGCTCACAGCAGAGGGCGGGAGGTTTGCATCCAGGGTCTTTGTCTGTTTTCCCAGTAGCTTAGGTTTCTCTCTTGCTCAAGGACAGTGTTGCAAAACAGAATTAGGTTGCATGTAGCAATTTATAGTATTTTATTTTG